GGATAGACTTCTGCTGAAACTAGTATGAGAAGTAATCATTGGTGACTAAAACTGTGACTATCCCWCCATACCAAGTTGTCAGTGAGGGTTCCTGAGTCTCACAACCTCATAAGTGAGCCTAAAACCTCAAGAAAACATCTAGAATGAGGAAGTACAAAAGAATGTTGCTACAGTGGTTGGAATCCAAAGTCTTTATCATCCTAAACACTGAGTAAGGAGAAGGAGACATGTCCAATCTGTGGTATGCATTTTAGAAGGATTCCCAGCCCTAAAGCTTAGAACAGATTTCCTGATTGCACATGATTTATTATTGAATTCCCTGCTGAAGGAGGCATGTTTCTCTGATGTATTATATAAATATAAACGCTTTAACATCAACTTCAAATCATGGTCCTCAGTCCTCAGAACACTAATGTGATCAGAGGTAGACCCAGAGTGGCTGTGTTTCGTGGATTTTCCCCATGGGAGGAAGCATCTTTTCTAGCACTGTGCATGGTCTACTGAGCAAATTTTCATGATCCAATAAAGCTGAACCTATTGAGTTTCTACCAGTTTTCTACAAATATACATATTGCCCCATGGAGACCTTTTGGTCCTAAGCTGTAAGGTCTCATTGGATAAAGAAGTGTTGAATTGTTTGTATGGAATTTCCATTATATTTTCAAGACTATCTCACATTCGTTATTTGAGTTTTCTAAGAGCATTCCTGTTTATATTTATTTATCTGTTTTTGTTTCTTGTTGAAATCATTCCCAGTTGTGTACAATTCATTTTTAGTTTTGCATGATCTTGATTTTATCTAAATTTTCTTCATAATAACATATTTATTTTGTATACTGCTTGATTGGTTTATTATGATTGCATGATAATAATAAGATTAACTTATACCTATAGTCATACATATAGGAAACATAATTTTATCAATTCCTTTCTCCAATATTTTCCCTTTATTTCCATTACACCCTCCCCAAAACATGTTTTCTACTCAACTGGTCTCATTCCTGTTTTAATTAATTGGTGCAATAAAATAATAAATAAAATTGAAATTAACTGTGATATGTTGCTCTTAGCACATAACATCATTTGTTTGATGTCATTCCACAGTACCTGCCCATTCTCTCATTTTCTCCCTCTCCTAGATCTACTCCTCTATTCAATATTTCTCCCTTTAATGATCCACTTCTTTCTTTCATAAGTGGAAGTTATCAAAAGAAAAAATAATAAAGATGAAAACTCACTCAGGCGTGTTTTTAATGAGTAAATAAGTGTTTTTTTTCATGAACAATTTGCTGATAGGGTTATTGATTTTGAGATTCTCATTGGATGTAGAGAAGGCTTAAGTTGAAAATGATTTAGTTATATATTCTACATGGTTAAAAACCAAAAAAAAAAAAAGAAGAAATGCTCCAAGTGAGAGAATTAAATTTTCTTTTCTTTCCATTTTCATTTTTTTAAAAAAACTACTTCAGTTGAACTAAATTCAGTTATGCATACAGTCAACCAGGTCTACATGGCTACACTACTCAAAAATACACCAAGCTTGGAAGGGCTTTCCTGTTTTTTTTCTGTTTTGCCTTTTGTGTGTCAGGAACACAGAGGGTCTTACTCACTAAGCATCATCCCCAGCCCCCTTTTATTTTAGAGAAAAAGTCGTGCTAAGTTGATTATGACCTTTCAGTGTTGCTGAGGCTGGCTTTGCACTTGTGATCCTACAGCTTCAGTCTCCCAAGCTGCTGGAATTGCAGGTGTGCACCACCACTCTGAGTTTTTGGAGCATTCCTGACTAAGAGTTATGTATGCATGATAACACACATTGTTTATAGTATATATATCAATGTCAGTGAAACTTCCAGGAAAGAACAACTGGCCTCTTAGAATAAGATTACAATAACTCCCTTCTSTTCAATTTCTAAAGACTTGTTTTGTGGCCTAACGTACAATCTACTCTGCCAATGAATMCACTTTTAATTGAGAAGAATATGCTTAAGACCAGATTCTACTGTGGGTGACAGTCTGAGAAGAGACTCACATAAGTTAGGACACTGTTTTCCACATGGATATTCAGGGTGAGCAGTTTTCTAGATGTCTGCTTACATCTGCTTCTACTAATTAATCTTGCCAATCAACCTGCTGTGGAGCAAGTGGAGTTTATATTAATTCAGTMACCCACTGAAAACACAATATCTGTTAGCATTGAGATGCATAGACTTAGCAATTTTACTTTGTGATTGGGCCAGATAGTTTTTGTCATTCTGGATAAACACAATTGCAACTCTGTGATGTGAAGTAACATGGCAAAATTCTTGCTCACACACCTTTAGCACTGTATGTGATGAATGGTAATTCTCTTAATGTTTTCATTTCCATTCTGTTACTAACTCAATAACTTATTGGGATAATTGTTGTCAACATGCAAAAGGAAACATTCAGGGGAGAAGGAGGTTAGTAGCTCTTCAATTTATCATGTTATTGTCCAGATGTACCACAGGCCTCCCCTGATTCTACTTTATCAGGCAAAGTGAACCCCGAGCCAAGAAAGCCTTCAAGGAGACAAAGAATTATGTCTGGCACTAAAAAGGACCTGGAAATATATGTGCACAGATCTGATGCAAAGTCCTATATCCACCCAATTCCTGGACACATTTTAAGTGGCTCACAAAAGCAATGTTCATAACCATTGGTGATCAGAAACATCTTCAATGTCCCAAGTTGAGCATTATGATGAACAACTTCTCTGTAATATTTTTGTTGTTTTTGTTTTATTTTGTTTGTTTTTGAGACTGGTTGGCCCTCAGTTGTTGAAGCTTGCCTTCAACTTGTTATTCCCACTGCCTCAAGGTTCTGAGTATCTGGGATTATAGGCATGCACCACCACAGATGGAAAAAAAAAATCACTGATGAGAAATCTAACTTGGGCCATGGCAGTRAGAGAGCTGAACCCTAACCATTAGATCACCAGAGCAGCTCACAACAAATAGATCTACTTTTTCATTGACAGAAGGACCCTCTGGTATTTCTCATGGCCAGTAGTCAAGTTTTCCTGGATACTTATTTTCTCTAATATTTCCCTTATGGACCCAGGGCTTTGGGGGGCTCCTCATTTGACTTTCTTTCTCCAACTAGTTGTTGTACAGAGCAATCTCTAGATGCAGCCAATTGTGTAACACCCTGCCAACGTCATGGTGAGAACTTCCTTTCTCTTTTGAATGTTCAAACACATAACTATTGTGCCCTAAATCTGTAAGGAACAATCTGGGCTCCCATGCCTGTTCCTTTAATTCCCTTCTGTAGCTTTTAAAGTAAACAAAATCATATAAACATAGCAAACATGGTGGCACTATGACTTCCTGGATTTTTTATATAWTTCATCTCTTAGCTGCAACTACCTGAATCCACTTTTATTCCCTGAAAATATCTAAGAGGGAGTGTATCAGGTCAAGCTCTTGTCATCTTTGCCATCCTTCTAAGATTTCAAAGCATGTATCCTTGTAAGATGAGGCATTTTCCAGACACTGGTTATAACCATTGAGAATCTAACTTACATGAGATTAAATGGGAAACATGAAAGGCACTCATTTCTTATTTAACTCACTGAACTTCAGAAACCTGATTTGGAGGCTCCCGAGGCAGGACATGGATGAAAATAGCTTTTGTGTCTTTTCCATAGATGTGCCACAGTCTTGGAAACAGCTAGAAATATACACCTTCACTGCTTGTCCCTGTCCTGAGTCTCTCTGATGTGCCAGCTGTTTTCAGCATATGGAGATACCACAGTTTTCTTAGGAGTATTCTTGTCATCAGATKGGCTCCAGGAAATGTGCTGCAGTTGCAGAGGTCCTTGCAGAGGTCCTGACAATATAAGATAAACCCTCAAAACTCTGACCTAAGCATACAAGGAACCTTGACTTCCTAAATGGTCTTCTTCCAAGTAACTCCCTGGGACTCATGCATGTCAGTCCTCTTGCCTTTTATCTCAGTCCCATCACAAGCCCTGAATTAGGACAGTTGTTCTCCAAAGTGAGGAGAGGAACAACTGAGTAGACATGTCCACAGGCTCCTTGAGGAGATAATGAGCCCAGCGAAGAGTGAACAGATAACAAAGGAATAGGATTTCTGATTGTTTCCCATCAATTTTTGAGGAAAATTCTTAGATCAGGAGGTCAATAATGTAATCAATACAATGAAGGCTGGATAATATTCCTCTCTATATTTACAGAGTTATAAAATAAAATTTTAAAACACATGTGGTCAGAAAATGGTGTGCATAAACACGGAAATATCCTGGGACCACAAATGTCATGATGTGTCCCAAGCATAATCAAGGGAAATTCAACAAAATGTGAAAGGATCTCAAAAAGAATTTATAGAATGGAAGATGTCATTCAAGAAGAAATATCTGTTGTGTGCTTCTAAATATAAAAGAAAACCTTACCAATATTCACAGAAAGAAAGTTAGTGGTTTCCAGGGAGATTCTGTGAGCAGAGATGGAGGAGGGATTCCCAAAGGGCAAAGTAGGTTTGTGGGCTGGTGGATAGATTCCTGGACCTGACTGTCCTGATGTTCCCAGAGGTGTGAAACTGTCTCAAAATCTGCCAAAGTTTTTACTTATGTGAATTTTATTGTCTGCCACAATTTCATGTAAGAAAACATATAAAATTAAGCTAAAACAACAATCACCCACATATACAATGAGGGTTAAGGATAAGAAGACACAGCTCTAGAATTACTGGAAATAGGGAAAATGGAGTGGGGAATAACAGGATTCCCCATAAGGTGTCAAGTCTGAGAAGACTAGGGTCTTCTTGCACTGTCTGCCTCATCAGCTGAACCTCAGTGCAAAGAGACCACAGCATCCTATTCAGCTGCCCAAACTAAAGAGGAGTAGAAATTTCTGTTTTTATGAATACATTTTTTTTAGAAACATGTTGATGTGACTGATTCTGAGGGCAGAGGACAAGAGGCTTCTCCTTCAAATAAATGCAAGTAGATTCTGCTGGGCCTATATAGTGGTAGAAGAAAAAGTCAAAAAACAGGCCTGAGCAAAGCTGCAGGGTGTTTGCCCTCCTGCCAGATGGTAAAGGGGTTCTTGTCTTACTTCCCCATGAGCCTGGAGCACTGTGGGAGCATCAAAGCTGTCATCATAAGACTCACAGTGATAGACAGCCTCATCCTCAGGCTGGAGCCCAGTGATGGTCAGTGAAGCAGAGTTGCCAGACCTGGAGCCAGAGAAGCGATCAGGGACCCCTGAGGGCCGATCATTATCATCATAGATGATGAGTTTAGGTGCTGTTTCTGGGAGCTGCTGATACCAGTGCACGAAATTGTCACCRATATTGTTGCTGCTTCCAGTGCAGGAGATGGTGACACTCTGTCCTGGAGCCCCAGACAGTGAGGGCTGCTGAATCAGCACAGACTGGACCCAGGATCCTAGAAGTGGAGGAGACATGCAGAGGGTGTTTTTTATTTAGAAACAAAAGTAGAATCAGAGCCCACATCAGAGAACTCCCACACCCTATTCCTCCTCCATATCATGTCACCTGAGCACTGAACAAAGAATGTGAGGAGGAAACAGGACCAGGCCATGGTGAAGATTGTTCTGAGCTCTATCTCCTGTTTCCAATCCTGAGTAGAGGTTTCCCCAAGTGTTTCCCTTGCCCTCTTTATACTCTAAGAAGGGGAAGTTCTATCCATGCAAATTAGGTTCCTCCAAGTTTTCTGATTGCTCTCTGGGCCCTGGCTCACCTCCTATACATAAAGATGCCAAGTGGGTATGCAGGGGTGAAGTTGGGTTTTCTCAAGGGTGTGGGAGGTCACAGCTGTTAGCCTTAACAAGAGAGCCTCTTGCAGAGCCAGATGGCTTATTAAATTACTTGTTACTTCCTGACCCCTCTTAACTGTTCTGCAGTGCCCCTATTGTTCATATACGTCATCCTAACTGCTGCATAGTTCACTTGACTCTTCTTTCGACAGGACTAAGATAGTGTCTTTGATATAAATTCTTCTCAGATCAGGATTAAGCAGGTGAACATAAGCTTCTGGTTTTGTTATCTTGTGAGTACCATCTAAGTTTATCCACAACACAAAAATTTTGTTCCAATAGTACTTTCACCTTTGTCTTGGCAAGGAATCCAGTTGTAAAATCTTATGAGCAGCCATTTGATGCTCTTTAGAAGATACTTTAATGCATGATTTCTCAGTTTGCTTACTTGTAACCCTTATTGTCAACCAGTGAGAATGATGGTTGTGACTATGAGTCAGTCACAACCATGTAGCATTTCAGTCACCTTTGGCTACATGAAATGTCAAAGAGACTGGAGACCCTTAAAGGACTCAGATTACAGGACTCATGAATGTTTCCAGTCATGGAAGAAAATGCATTTTCCTCATCACTGGGAAATATGCAGGCAGTCTGGGCATGAATATCAGCTTTTCTTCATATTTATTCAATATGATTCAGTGTATCTCAGRAGAGGTCCGTGTTTCCAACTGAGGAAGTAAATCATATTCTGATTTTTTAAATCTTTATTTTATCTTTTATTTGTTCTTATTGGTTATAAATGACATTAGCATGTATTTTCACATATTATACATATATGTAGTATAATTTCACATTCTTCTGGTTGCACAGGATGTATAATTACATTGGTCATGTGTTTATATACACACATAGAATACTATGGCCAATTCATTCTAAATTTTTCCTATTCCCATTCCCCATYCCTTCCCTTCATTCCCCTTTATCTATTCCTATGTATTTCTAATTTTTCTCTCCTCTTGCCCTTATTTTGGGTTAGCATTCACATATCAGAGAGAATCATTGTTTTTAGGCTTTGTGTTTTTTAGGATTGGCTTATTTTACTTAAGATGATAGTCTCCAGTTTCATCCACTTATCTGTAAATGCCACAAATTCCTTCTCTTTATGGCTGAGTCACCTTTGTGACTATTGTGAGATATATATATATATATATATATATATATATACATTTATATTGTGATATATATATACATATGTATATATATATCACATTTTCTTTATCCACTTATCTTTTTAAGGCCAACTGTGCTGTTTTCATTGTTTAGATGTTGTGAATTGAACTGCTGTAAAAATTGATATAGCTGCCTCTTTATAGTATTCTGATTTTAAGACCTTTGGGTATAAACCAAGGAGTAGGATACTTGGGTCAAATGGTGGTTCCATTCCAAGTTTTCTGAGAAATCTCCATATAGGTTTCCAGAGTAATTGTACCAAATTGTAATTCTACCAGCAATGTATGAGTGTACATTTCCCCCACATCCTCACCAATATTGATTATTGCTTGTATTCTTGATAATTGCCATTGTAACTGGAGTGAAATGAAATCTCAGTGTAGTTTTAATTTGAATTTCTCAAACTGCTATAAATGTTGAATATTTTTTCATAATTTTCACAATTCTAGATCCAATGATAGTCAACAAGTGCCATTCTACAGACTAGAATCTTCCATACTTAGAAACATATCTCACTTCAAAGTAGGTTGCTCCTTTTCAAATCCAGCACAATTTGTAATTAAATAAAGAATTAAAAATCAAGCAATTATATTTATTTCTGATAAGATAAATTGTGTACATTGTGTAATTTAATATTTTTATATTAGTATAGAAATTTGAAAACTAACTTACATTTTCTGATTAATAGATTATTTTACAATAAATTGTATTAGAATGTGTGCATTATTAAGCCATTAAAATTTATAAAACTTTAATATATTAAATTTTCATCACTATTTTCRCCCTCCCTCCTYTATTCCTTTCTTCCTTCTTTCTTCTACCTGTGAAGAATAGGAAGTGCATGTTCCTTGTGCTTTTCTGTASTTTTAATGAAAATTTATTTCCACCTTCATATAGTTCTCTTAAGTGCAAAGACCGTTGATTTCTTGCAGATTCTTTTTTTCCACAGATCAAGCTCCACTTGTCTTTCAATTCAGAAAAAGCAAGACAAAAATTCTTCCCTACTCCATTGCAGATCAGGAAATATAATTCTCCTCTTCTCCATGAGTGTACCCAAATTCACCAGCACATGGAGTTTTCTTTTGATTATCTTTTGTCTAATTTTATCTCAAAAAAATGAACCCAGAATATTTAAAATTTTTACACCCAGCAACATAAAACAAACTGTATAAAATTACCAATGTTTTAGGAAGAAAATTGTAGAACCAAATAAGAACATAATAGTGGAACTGCAAATCATTGCAGCCATACCAGAAAGCAGCCTGGAGATTTCTCAGAACACTTGGAGTGGAACCACTATTTGATCCAGCTATCCCACTTCTCAGTTAAAATCAGCATACTACAGTGTTGCAACCACATCAAAGTTTACAGCAGCTCAATTCACAGTAGTTAAACTATGTGACCAACCTAGCTTCCCTTTAATAGATGAATGGATAAAGAAATGTGGTACATATACACAATGGAATATTATTTAGCCTTAAAGAAGAAAGAAATTATGGCATTTGTGGGTAAATAGATGAAACTTGTGACTATCATCCTAAGTGAAATAAACCAGTCCCAAAAAGCCAAAGGTTGAATGTTCTCTCTGATATGTGGATGAAAAACCATAGCAAGTTATAGTAGGTGGGGTAAATATAGAAGTTCATTATATTAGACAAAGGGGAATGAAGGTAAAAAGGGGGGGGATTGAGAATAGGGAAGTCAGCAGAATGAATTGGACATAAATTCCCTGTGTAAAATATAGAAATAGATGACAACTATAACAACTACATAAATAGATGACAACATCATGTTCACCCCCAAGAATGGGAACAAAATTATAATGAGTTTTGCCCAATGTATGAATAATATGTCAAAATACAGTTTACAGTCATAYACATCTAAAAACAACAAATAAAAAAAGAAAATAAGCACATGAAATAACACTAAATCTCATCTATCTGTGCATATTAAAGTAACAATGAAATGTGCTATACATCTATGGGATGGTTTACTATTCCACAAAGGCATTGAAGTGAAAATAAACGTATTCTACCAAAATTGCACATTTACTGTGATTCCAGGTGCCTTAAGTTGATGTGYAAATCAAAAGGAATGATGCCATATGCTAACCTAGCATGAGTTCACTTGTTCACTAAGGCCAATCTGTGGATTATTACATAGATGCAGGCATATCCTGGTTATTCACAGGAAGAATAAATCACTTAAATGAGGATATTAGCCTACCATTAGACTCCTTTTCTTCATTAATTTAAACACAAGGATCTATGATTACTGAAACAGAGGATTTTAAATGCACAGTATTCATTCAATTAGGCTTGATATTATGATGAAAAAATAAACCAATTTTATTGTTATGTTCTAAGGCTTTGGAATTTTGAAATTTGAAATTAAGTTCGGACAACATTTTATATGGACCAAAAAATTATTTTAAATTCTTTTAATTTTTACTGCTTCCACTTGAAGCTGAACATCTCAATTCTATTATTCATATGTGTAGTTTACATGAGTCTAAAATTAAGAAGTTAGAAAAAATTAAATAAAAAGAAAAAATAAAACAGCGCTTACATGTCTATCTGTAGAGACATCAGGGATGTTTACATGTTTAACTCAATAATATTGTTTTAAAGAAAATGCAGTTACAGAATTCAGTGTATAATATGCAATTACAATGGCTGAGTCATGATGGGTAGAGACATTTATCACTGCTAAAATTTTATTACATATACAATTATGCATAATTTATAATTTAAATAAACTATTGTTGAATTTTGACTGATAATGATATTACACGTTATCATCTTGATGGGTTTCAACTTCTRTGTCATACCTTCTTTACTGGTGATAATTGATAATTTTATTATTTTTAGTATTAAGAGAAATTGTGACTCTTTTGTTTTGCATTTTGCAATTCATTGTGTAATAGGATAGAATTATGCTGTACCACTAATGAAAACCAGAATCTGAAGTGTTATTTTATAAATAGTGAGGTTTTTGACCACTTGGAAGCTCTACAGATGAGTGACATGTCCTGCTGCCTCATATGGTTTTCCTGTTATAAGCACTRATTTTATATACAGGACAGTAATAATTGTTCTTGTCCTCATACTGGAAGCCAGAGATTTACAAATACACTTCATTGATTGAGACATCTTTGTACCCAAAAATTCAACTGGGGAACCCAGGCCCCAGCTGTTTGTCTGAGTCTGACTCAGATTTTACAAGTTTGAGTAGTGCTCAGATACAAGTCCTGCTAGTACCACTACATTTTTTTCTACCAACAGTAGGTTTCCGTTCAGAGTGCTGGTAAGTCTATTTGCTGATCCTAGAG